TCTGTTAGATTAACCGGAGCATTGCCCATAAAACAGTTATACATTGTACATAGTATTTTAAAATTGATCCTAGCTTTAATTGGTAACCAATGCAGTTCCAACAAAGAGTCTTTGGAACTATCATATTTTCCGCGTTGCAAAACAAGTTTTGCGCACATATTCTGGATACGCTGTAATTTCTGTAACTCACTTTCTGAAATGCCAAACAATATAGCGTTGCAAAAATCCAAATGTGAGATTACAAGCGACAGTACTAAGATTTTCGTGGCGTCCGGAGTCAGATATTTGCGAATGCTCTTTATTCTCAAATAATTTAACATGGCAGTTCTACACTTGGTCTTAACATGTGTTGAGAATCTTAGGCCCTCGTCTAAGTAGGCACCTAAGTATCTTATGACACTGACATTTTGAATTTTATCACCGGCGATATCAATTTCTTTAACTGTACAACATTGCAAACTAAACAACAATTTTTGTCTGACATACTTTCAATCTTATCATTTCATGGAATAAAAAAAGAAGATTTACTGTCCTTTAAAACAATCCTTTTATTTTAATTAGAAATGTGTCGTAACGCCATGAATGCTCCCACATGATGTCCAAATTTCAACTGATAAAACAATATTTTGTTTCAGATTTGTTTGTATAAACCATTTTGTTTTTCATTTTAAGTTCAATGCCCTTAAACTATTCAATGTTAACAGAAAGCAGTGTTAACCTGTTGCAAATTTCATAATGCATATTTCTTGCCGAGATAATGAGTAGAAATTGTAAATTTTAAATCTTTTCCAAGTTCAAGGGAGGATTAACATCTGACCATGACCTGAATTAGAATTTCTGGTAAAATCCAAGCACATGCAATATTAACCTCAAGCATACATTCCTCCATAACTAAATTCGGACTTGACTTGTATTTTTTTATTAGATACTTGCACATGCGATTTCAGCCTTATACATACATTTCGACAAAAGTAAGTGCGGAAACTGAAAAACATATCATTTTTTTCAAACGTTCAAGAATGATAACTTTGTCAAAAGTCATCAAACTGTGATCAAATTAATACTTGGTCTGCTTATTCCTTTGACGTATCCATACGTCAAATTTAAGCTAACTGTTTACAACCGTTCGGAAGTTAAAATTTCTTCTTTCTTTCTTCAAAGTTTAAAACAACTTTGCCAAAAATCTCCGCAAATTCGTACCTGACCTGCACATTCCTTTGACTTATCCATGTCGTAAATCAGAGTATAATGTGTACAACTGTTGGGGAGATAATGAAAATTTTCTTTTTTTCAAAGTTAAAGGGGCATTACTCTGCTAAAGATCATCATGCTATGACAAAATTCGACATTGACATGTGCATTCATCTGACGTATTCATATGTCAAATCTAAGTTGAATGTCTACAACTATGAGGGAGATAATGAACGGAAACTGATTTCTTTTCAAAGGTTAAAGGGGCATCATTTTGCCAAAAATCATTGAACTAAGATCAAATTCGAACCTGACCTTCTCATTCATTTGACGTATTTATATGGTCAAATTTGAGTTGTATTTGTACATTAAACTAAAAATCTTTTCAAGGAACATAACTCTGTCAAAAATCATCGGACCATGATCAAATTGGTGCTTAAACTGCATTTTTCTATGATATATCCATATATAAAATTTGCGTGGAATATGTACAACTGTTGCCAAGATAATGAACGGAAAATGATAATGACTGAGTGAATGAATGGCGAAGTGACGAAACGGGGTAAAACTATATGCCCCAGCCATTTTATGACAGGGGCATAAAATTGACTTTGTAATTACAAGTTTATGAACCAGTGACCGTGATTTATTTTTATACTTTAAGCACATAAATAAACAGAATATTTGATATTGGTATAATATCATAAGTGCATTTGTGAAACATGTTGTATAATCAATTTAATATAAATTGTTTTCTTTTTGTTGCATGTTGGATAACACGCATATCGTAATGGTCATATGACAGCTGGCACAACTGGACATTTCACTTTGGTCCGTGTTCGTAATAACATCATAAGGGATAACTCTAGCAGTAGAGGTATAAGTTGTTTCTTAAATCAACACATATCTTTAAATGACAGATCCCTTTGCTTATATTTTTCCTAGCTCATGTTAAGCGTTTCATTGGAAACTATTAAATGTTGTCACACAGTTTATCACTGTCACTTTATTTTCACCTCTTCGGAAATACGCTTGTCATTCTAAACATCGTGAATGCGTACTGAATTATCAGAGTCTATGACATATCGATTTTCTTTACTTTCTAAGCAGAATAGTAGTAGATATTTAATAAGGAATATTTATTGTGTATCACTGGTATTACCAATTTTCTTTTAAATTCTATTCATAAAACAAGATAATAGATAAAAATATAATAAGCTTTATAAATGTGATGTTGTTTTTACGCATTTGAATAGTCATGTTTTAGTTTAATGCGTAAACATTCAAACCAATTTTATAAAGAAAAAGCCACTGTGACATTGACTGACAAGTTGATCGTTTCTGAAACAGAGATTTCAAATGGAAATAATTATTGTGAAGACAATCTGAATTTAGAACTGAAATAGTTCTAACATATGATTGTTCAATTTATTTACCACATGGCGCCAGTAATAGTGTTGTAATAACAATTTTATTACCTAAGTGTTTTTCAACAATATTTTATCTTTTACCTTAATATATTTTCATAATATCATAAAAATATGTTATTGCTATAGTATTAATTGTTTTTATATCATTATGGTATGTAAAGTTTTATTTAAAACATAACTTTTGCAAATATCAAACAATATGATCAATGAAAGACTAGAGACAAATTTATCATGATTGCTTAGCCTTATGTAATGTTTGCTCATGTAACAAACACTAATCTATACTTTACACTTGTTTAAGCAAAATAGTTTTCGTTTATACAAAGAGATTGAATTTTGACAATAAAAAGCGAAATTTAAAATATTCAGCACGTTCAAAACGTTGCAAGTATGTTTATTTATAATAAAGTAAGTGGCAAATTTCTAAAATGACAGCTTTGACTACTTCTAAAACTTTATTCTTTTAATCGTTTAAACTTAAATATTTTTTAAATGAAACAATCATAAATTAATCATCAACTTCTTAAATATTAGTTCATAATTAACATTACAAGCACTAAAGTATCATAATATAATTGTATGTAATTTTCTTCAGTCATAACGTGTATTCCTGACATGAAAAATCTCCACTAGTAAATTCAAATTGACACTACAATACCCCAATCTTGAGTTCATAAAGAGTAAAAGCTTCTTGAAAGGAAAAATACCTCGGGAGAAATTGAACAAAATCAAGTAGTTGTTTGTTCTCTCACGTCTTCCGGCGCCAAGTTGGTTCCATTGAGGTCAAAAAGTCTTCAAATATAAAATTTAAAATTCTTAGATAGATAATTAAGTTCAAATGAAACACTTTATATGGAAACATCTGCAACGAATAATAAAGAAATAAAGTAAGAAATTAAATTAGATATCGATTTTTCAGTGCGATTTTCAGCCCGATTTGGGTAAAAAGCGTTGCATTGTTTTTAATGTTTGGTCTAGACCATCATCAAATCGTATAGAAATTTCGGAAAATATACAATATATAAAAATAAGATCAACAAGGAAGGGTGTGTAACAAGGGTGGCATTTGGTGAACACTTTCCCCAACAAAAGGGCCGCCGGAAAATAGCCAAAAAGAAACGAAATCTTAATCGAAAAGGACCATAAGAAATTTAAGTTGGCAGATGGAAACTTGAATTCTATTACTTCATAAATGTCATTTAGTACGTGAACCATGTTTTCTTCATAAAAAACGTCACACAATATTCTGAGTGTGAGCATCTTCATAATATCACTGCACACCGTAAAAACGACGATTTAAGTTTCGATGCATTGTGGTTTCCTTCGGTAGCGTAAAACATTTACAACTTTATTTAAAAAGGATTGATTTATTTCTAACATAGAAATACTTAATGTCAGCGGATATAATCAAGAAAATCTTTCAAGATATTCATCACTTCTGAATATATTTTCCGGTGCGATTCGATCTAAAATGACTAATTAGCAGTTTATTAATGAGTAATATGCATTACGTAAATATACATTTACGACGAATATTAACAATGGCATTTCCATACAAATAGTGTAATTAAAAAGTGCTTTGCCGGTATCACAAAACCTTAAAGCAAACTAAGTGGTTATGCAAGGCACGTATTTTCTACGGAAATCTAAAATCGCTTGTCGAGACTTTTCTTGAATAAATCTTACGTCTGCGCCAGCTTGCACCGGTTTAGTTTAAGAAAAAATGCAATATCTTAATAAAATAATATTAACTCTTAAATTGATAATCATCAGCAGAATAGAGACCTGATCACCGAACCGCCAATGTAAAATGTCCATACCATTTCTTGAAAAGTATGTTAGAAATCAATGGACGGAAGTAAAAATGATGAAAGTAAAAGGGAAAATAGTAGCCTAAAGCCTGAACATCGCAGGCAGCTGTCAAGAAATCAAAACCTAAAGATTAAATGATAACACACACTATAAAGTTTTATAAGATCATAATAGCAGTTATCGCACAACCGTATAAAAATTGTATTTAATTCAGAATCTGCAGATGTATTCATATGGCGTTGACCATAGCTTAACTAAACAAAATGCTACTCTTGATATTTTGAAGTAACTAAAAAGGATAAAAAGGTTTGCTATCTTATAAGTAAATGTAAATCAACACAAGAAGGATAACCTTCTATCAGAAATATCATGAGGTATGTTTATACAAATTGCGACAAAAAGTTGTGTGCCTATTCTGATTTCATTGAATGATGGTAAGAAAATGTTCTTCAATATCATGATTGCTTTAACGATCTCAAGTTCAATAATTCCAACACCAATCCATACGGCCGCTATAAAACTCTTGTTCATCTGTTCGTTTTACAATATTGACAGAATGGAATTCTTCACAGAGCACTGGTATTTCTGTAAAGGCTTTTTGAACGCTATTATTGGAAATATTTTGTTCGCAGGATTTTGATCTTTTCATGCTTCCACGTTAAGATATGGTGCTATATTAATATCCATTTTTACAAGAAAGGAGACCAAAAGGAAGAAGAAATGAAATTTTCAGCTACCTACTTAGAGAAGGATTATATTTCGAGAAAGTAAGAAATAGAATTATGTATCTTTATATTGCAGTGAATCTGTTTATACAAATTTCTTAAATTAAATGGATTTGAAATTTTAAGTAAACAAAATTTCATTTCTTTTATAAGATATTTCTTACTTATCTTAAAATTATAGAGCTCACTTTGAGCAATGTGCAAATCTTTTTTATAATCAGAGAAAATTGCGCAGTTTTTGCTAAAAAATAAATTCAGTTAATAAAAAATTATTACTAAAACATAGTAATTTAATGATTATATTTTTTCTTAAAGATAGCTTTAGAAAATATAAATAGGGTCAATTGATGCACAATAAATAACACTTATTATATTTATTTCTTTAAAATATAAATAGATCTATAGATCTATAAAATACATCAAACCTTTTATGATGGATAAAAATTATCTCATATATGTCTAAACTACGATATACGAGTTCAATAATGTTATTGCTGTTTAATTGTTCACACAACATTCTGCCAGTGGCATTGCAACCATGCTAAATAAGAGAGAACCATATTGTTATCTACAAGAACTTGCAACTTCTCTTTATAAATAATTAATTATACATTAATGTTTATGAATAGTGCTTTATTCAAGTAAGATTGAATCATTTTCATAACAAATTCTTCGAAATGAAAAAGTTAAAAGATAATGAGCATTTGTTTTAAATTTGAATATCTCTTAGTACACATTGTGGTATTTGACCAATTTTCTTTACATAAATGACCTTATATGCCGATCAAATATTATATAAAAAATCAATCTACAATGTAAAACTATTACTGAATCATTTTTTTTCGATCTAAATGACTAAGAAGATATTATTTATTTAATGAAATTATTTAGTAATGATTAAATAAAACAAATATCGTAATAAGAGTAATAAGAGTAGACAAGAGTAACGAAATAAGTGTTTTCCATTGTAACTGTCAAAACGTATTTAAACAAATTAACTCAGCTATTCAAATTGTTCTTGTAAAATTACTAATTTATCAAAGGTTTTCATTTTCTTTTATCTTGTCTTACATTTCAGATATTCTGATTGACTGGCAATTTATTATCACTTTGATAGCTCTACTCGGAGAATGGCATTTTACCGATTTGTACACAGAAAATATTACTAAATAAAGAGTGACTTATTTTCAATTTATTTTCTTTGACAACAAGAAGGCCCCTTGACATGAAATTAGCGTTGATTGGCAAAAGTCTAGAAGCAGTATAAGCTGGATCAAGATGACATTGAAACGGACAATCAATTTGTTGATTGCGTCTCAAGAGGAAACAACATGGAAGTATTTAATAAGAAATACAAACGGAATGTATTAAATGAGTTTTGAATCGACAGGAGAAGTAAATGCAATATTTAGATATTTCAAATTCAGTAATTTAAAAACTTGCATCATTCATCAGAGTTTGTAATTTTATTCTAATAAACGAAAAAAATGTCTCAATATATTGAAAACAGGACAATGAAGAACGATACATTAAATAATATTAGTAGGGTAACTCATGGTGATGATGATACTTCTACGAATATTGCAATAGGGATATATAGTACAATTTTCATCCTAGCAGTGATTGGAAATGGTCTTGTTATTTTGACATTGGTGCAAAATAAAAGAATGAGGACAGTGACTAACGTATTCCTGTTGAACTTAGCAATCAGTGACCTTCTCCTTGCAGTTTTCTGTATGCCTTTCACTCTCGTACCAATTATGATTAGAAACTTTATATTCGGACCATTTATGTGCATAACCATACGATACGCACAAGGTAAGAGTACATTTTTGTTTATCGTAGACCTACAAATATGCATATGTGTTTCATAAATTACAGAAAGGTGATATTGGTAGTTAACTTCATTAATGAGACTCCGTTTTAATCATAAGTATATATTACCTTGAGTATTTATATAATATAAATCGAAAACATAAAATATTGTTTTTAGAAAGGTTAGTGCAATTATTTACCTATACATACAATTAGCTCAAAATATTTAAGAACCGGTAAATATTTTTTTTAATATTAATTATCTAAAATATCAATAATTTAATTTATTTAGATTGATTATTAAAAAAGAGAACTAGACAATCCATAAAGCACGCCCAACCCGGCAAAACTGAAAATGTTGCTGAGTCGGTTTTGATTGAGCCTGTTCATGGACCGTACTGGAAATGGCATGTTACCGTCTACGCCCCCTAGCACCGGCTTAAGCAGAATTCATTTAAACATGAAAATGGGTACATTTTGGAATTAAAAAAAAATCGCAGATTTATTAAGACTTGTGTTTTTGCACTAAATGCTGATTTGAATTCCAGAACAAAATTTAACATTGTCATTGTTCAAGGCGGTGACGTAGAGCTACGAATATATATTTCAATTTTATTTTATATTCCTGCAATAAGGCAGAAAATTCGTTACAATTTTATGCAGCTTTGTTAATGCGCAGAAAGAGTCTATTCCAACTGTTTATTTCGGACGAAGTTTGTCTGAGAACGGTTTGACTTCTTGTTAAATTCTTCAGGGATAAACATAATAAAAAGATTTTAATTGGTCATTATAAAAGTACAAACTGATATCAGTGAATTGTATTGGCCTACATAAAATCAGTATAAAAATATAAAGGATCTTTCTGAAACATATACACGTCAAAAAGGGGGTATCGGGAACAAACTTTCTAGTTTATTTCTGGGATTTTTTAAGATCTTGAGATCTTTCTCCCAATACATATTTTACATTTCTTTTAGATTTTTCATTAATTCTCTAGTGAATAGCTTATTCAACATAAGCAAATGATATTCTATAAGTCTTGTTCAAAATGTCGAGACTACCAATAAAGTTCACGTGACATCAAATTAAAAAATAATACAAATCCCGAAACTTCTGGTACACTTAGTAGATTATGTTCAGTGTTCGTGATATATTCTTTTGATGAAATTTCGAAATGACCTATGCAAGTAGAAGCAGTTTATCCTCGTTTGAATTGATATCTCTGGTTTCCTTCTGTTTTCAATCAGAGAATGTCCATATGAAGGATATCATTGAATTGAGTGAATTAAATTGTATGCATGAATTGTACAAGCCAATATTTAAACCACAAAATATTGAACCAAAATATCAAATTGATTAAGTTGTCATTGAAAGACATTTATTTAAAAATGGCCGTGAAGTACGCGGGATAACGGGCTAGAGTTAAAACATACTTATTGAATGATATCTTTAGATCTTTCGTTAAGAATCATTGCAAATAGACACACTCTAGTGACAGAAGGTGTTTGATTATAATTTTTAATGTTATATACATGTATTCACAGAAGTGTGAACTTTTGCATTCTGATAATTTGCCATTCACAACCTTAAGGGGGATTCTGTAATAGTATTGGTTTAAGTATTTTTTCAAAACTTATATTGTCTTTCATTTGCAGTCACTAATGCACAATAGTATGAATATAGAATAATAAAATTTGCTTCAACTAGGTGCAAGAGCATAATTATGAGATTTTTACTTCCAGTGGGGCAAATTCTCATTAATGAGGACCAAGATTTATCTAATGGAAGCTAAATGCATTATATAATAATTATCTAATTTTTACAAATTGCTTTTAAATTTCAATAAGCTTATGTCATCATCAGCGTATCTAACCTAGTAAAATGATAGAAAGAATAATAACACAAATTTCAGTGGTTTAGCACTCGATTAAATAAAACTGTTGTAAGTGTAAGACTGAATAGAAGCACGATATCCAATTTATCTCCTAATAATCAATTACCTCTGGATTCGTATACTTCTTTAATGCTTCAAAGAATAATCAATATCAACAACAAGTCATATATATATAGCATATAGTTTTATGGACACTTTTGCAGTTTTTCAATTTCAAATTCATCAGTTTCACCAAGCATGTTAGCTTTTATTTCTTTTATAGACATATCTACAATATGATCACGCAACACTTGAACAACAATTGCTTTTTTGTACAATGTTGTGTTCGTTCTTATCATGCCCCCAATTAAATGTGTTGTAATATGAGACAAAGGGGTAAAAGTAATTGTTTTATATACGATACATTCAAATACAGATTAATTGTTATATGAATGTATAGTTTTTTTAATGGATATGAAAAACTGTTAATTTCAGAAGTCCTTATTTAATACTGTGCGTATGTTAATAATCATATTGATACACACTCTAATGATCAACACTGAAAATTTAATGTCTTGCCATAAAAGATCTTATATAATAGTAGCATTAGTGTAATAATACTTCAGCTAAACATGTCAATCGTTATAACAGACAATTTAAAAATGTATTTATGTTGAAGTAGAAGGTATATTGCTCAATAATATTAATTTTAATTTTTGAAGTTTAAGATACAAGACATCTGATGAATATAACTATTGTTTACCATTTTGTTTTAGTATGTCTGCCCCAAGTGTACATAAATGATTGTATTGCAAAAATTAAAATAAAGACATTCATCTTTCTTCTCCGAAAGTAATTACGTTTGGGGGGTGATTAAACATATCTATTTCAATATTGCCTTATTAACTAATTTCGGTACTTAATTTAGTATGAAACAACGTTTCTTGCATACCAATTCCATCTGTTGTCATTAACCTCATTGTAATAAACACATGTTTAATCGTTTTGCTTTTGAAAAAAAAACCCTAAATCATACAACTGCACATTCGTCATTATTTAAGAATTCGAGATTCACAATTCATACTGACAGCCGCTTTATTAATTTAACTAAAGAAAATTAATTATCTTCTCACACATAATGCAAGTGTACATGTGTTTACTACCTTATTGTATTTTCGATATTTGTTAAAGACAAGTATTTGATATGAACTTATTTGGATGGAACAAATTTTCTCTGTCTGTTTTCAGAAATTGTTTTTTTTTATTTCAAGTATATTTTTTTTATTTCTGCTTAATCTTAATTTCAATTTAGCAAAACTATGTAATTTAGATAACAAAGACAGACGGTGTATCAGTTAAGGCCTTGTTTGCCATTTCATGTGTAAATGTTTAATAATAGTACTTGAGTTTGCAAGAACAAATGCACTAGCATGTATACTTGTTCAAAGTGAATGTTCATTTTTATATCACTAGTATTTAAAACATCTATTATCTGATTTGTCTTGTATCGAAAGTCGTGGACAGTCATCGGTATTGTTTGTTTTAATTAGTTTTTTCCCCGATTCACACGTGAGCTCACTATGATTAAGCACGTACACACATAGCAAGAAAGTGCGAAGCCATTTTATTCACTTTTAGTTACAGTCTACGTTCGTAAATTTATAACCATTCCTACTAGACATTATAGCACAGCAATATTTTATTATAGAAGCACAGCATAGGGAAATAAAGATTTCATCTAATCAGACACTTGTTACATGAGAATTCTCTTGTTCATTGCATCCTCTATCCGTCCAGCGAACAATAATTACTGAAACGGATATAATATTAGCGCTAGTAAAGATTCTATTGGGTGTTAACATTATTGATTTTATGTCACATATCCTGCACTTTTTAGTGTTTTATTTCTTAATTTTAGTATGTAACCTTTCTTTTTTATTTCATTTTTGTTAGTAAGTTAATCCGTAATTGTTATTTCATTGATTCATATTTTACTGTTAAAATTTAAGATAAATAAATAGTTTAAATAAACTGAGCACATTTCTTAATGTATTGTTTCACGCAAAGAGGAATCTTTCACATTAATATCTTTAAAATTACCTTCTCCTCACATTTTATATATGATCACTTCATCTTTATTTATATAATTGGTAATTTTATAGTCATTGTACGCCATGTAGTCATTGTACGCCAGATGTGGATATACTGTCAAATTAAATTGTTTACACGTTAAATATTATTTGTAGTACTAAACTTAAAGTGAGTTCTGTAGATTGTAGATTGTTGAATCATCTAAATAAAGATCATCTAAAATGATGATCATGAAAAGTCATTTCGGATAAAATATTTTAATATTCTTACACATTGTTTATATTTTTAATTTGTATTTAAATAGAAACAGATGTGTAGAACAAATAGAACCAATATATACACATTAAGAGAAAAAAGAATTTTATTTGAATTTATAATAATAAATATGATTCAAAAAGTTTCGAGATTGATCTAAATTATGAATGAATTTAATTGAATTGAATTGCTATAAGTCGGTTTTTATTATATCTCTTTATATGTTTGTTTTTTAGGTGTGTCAGTTGGTGCAAGCTGTTTTACACTTGTTGCCATATCGCTGGAGCGTTATTTTGCAATTTGCCGACCGCTTCGTTCACGACAATGGCAGACTTTATCCCATGCCTATAAAATAATTGCAGTTTGCTGGGTATTTGCATTGATTATAGTTATTCCAATAGCAGTTTCAACTCGATATATTCGCATCAGACCTGGATTGAATGCATGTCGGGAAGACTGGGCAAATGAGGACTTAGAAAAGGCATATACAGTATTCCTTGATGTAATACTTCTATTTATACCACTTTGTTTAATGACTGGTGCTTATACAAAGATTATGGCTACGCTTTGTGCTGGAATCAGCATGGATGACCCTGCTGAATGTAGCAAAGGTATGTCAGATAATGATTATTGTTACTTATACGTTTTTTTATCGGATATGCTATATAGTTCACATTAAATGTTTGTAATAGTAAACACTGGCTCTAAATAGTGAATACACATTTTTAAGTTATATACACGCGTGTGTCTGTATCATTACATGAAAACAACATTCATCTATACATTCATTTATCAGTCTACTGCGGTAAAAGATCATTATGCGTAAAAAAATAAACGTTAGGATAGCAAAAACATTCCTATATCATGATAGATTATATTCCGTCTTCGACGCTGTTCACGACGCTGTTCATTTTCTTACTCAAAAATGTTATTAATGATTGTAAAATTATTCAGTTAATTATCCGATATTTTTATCACAGGATATAGCAATGGTGGTGTTTCAAAATCGTCCTTAATGGTGACATTGAAATACAGAGGTTCTACGCGAACAAGCTTATTAAAGAACGAAAATGCTCAAAACTTTAGTAGAAATGGTGAAAGGAATTATCTTGCTATACAAATGAAGGAAATTAGTCCATGTAGTAGTGAGGAATCAACACCCAAAAGAACAAAATTGGATCAAACGCGAATTATACGACAATCTAATCAAGAAAAAAGCCGGGAAGCAAAACTACGTGTAGTCAGGATGTTATTTGTCCTGGTGATTGAGTTTTTTGTCTGCTGGTCTCCTTTATACACTGTGCAAACCTGGAAAAGTTTTCACCATGAAAGTATCAGAGACAATATATCTAGTTTTGTATGGTCATTTATGTTTGTCTTATCCTATCTGTCATCATGCTGTAACCCTATAACATATTGTTTCATGAACAGACGCTTTCGCCAGTCATTTATTGCTGCTTTTAAGCGTTGCATATGCTGTAAACAAAAGTCGAGAGGTTATTTATATAACACAAACTACACAAGCACAAGACGATTGACGTGGGCGGATACACAAAAGGTTGAGGAGACTGAATTAAGTTCAAACGACAAATCTAAGTCCTAAGTCGTAGATACCAAACTATTTTGTCATATTTACGTTTATCTTAGTGAAATAATGACTTACGTTTAAAATGATACTATATAAATGTGTAAACAATCTTGATATAATTGTGTATTAAAATACTAGTAATGCAGCAAGCCTGGCTATCACATACTGTCATTATGCTATCAAATTATGCTATCAAAACTCATGTATATATTTCTTTAAATAAGTGCTAAACCTAAAGCACTATTGCCATTTATACAAGAGCTTGAATCAACTTTAATTATTGATTAATAAAGTGCTACACCGCTAAATTCTTACTCCTAAATGCTTAATACTTAAGATCCTTGATTTCGTTTGTCCCAAATCACGGATCCAAATAAAGTCCTCTACTTTTGGAAGTATTCCTTTTTAAAATTCAAACAACAATTTTTGCAGGAAAAGATCTTTCCAAGATTCTAAAGGAATGCTGCATTGAGCGTTACAGTTCGAAGATGAAGACACAAAATACTTGATATGTTGTCCAAAACGATCTAGGGTTATTTGAATATTTTACTAAATCATAGAGTCGGTTAATAAAAACTGAAAAAAAAGAAAGATGATTTGATTTCAACAGTTCATTGCTGCCAGATTTAATGCAGGCAAGTTGTATCAAAGGAAGTCATCATTTAAAAATTAAAATGACGTTTAATTAAGAATTAAAAACGGCAATGGTTTTGGAATCTTCATTACGCCATTTCACGAAAAACGGCATGTGGTACCAACGTCAAGAAATGACAAGCTACCAACGTGATACAATAAGGAATAAATAAAATATGTTAAAGGAAAAGATATATCTGAGCAAACGAAGCCTTGTTTCACAGACACGCATCAAATGAAAAATTTAGCAAGAATATTGGGGCTACAAAAAAAAAGAAATAAACACCTGAACTTTGAAGAATTATACCTCAAACAAAAAATGGCTATCCTTCTTTTCTCCAACGATCGGACATGTAACATTTCTGATTGAAAGGACCTGATGACCTTTTACAGTCGCCACAAGGCACAAATTATGACGTGAAAACAAGATTTTCAACCAAAACTAAGGACAACTGATTGGAGAATGGCTGTTAATACAAGTTGAAAATGCTGCAAACACAGTTGATAAAATCTATTCATAAACGACAATGATTAACTGCATGCTACCCACGCCCCCACTTTACAGCTTGAATTATTGAACACGGAAATCATATTCAGTATTTAGAAACCTCAAAAGGTGTATTCAACTATTGATTAGGCAATGATTATGGTACATTCAATGTGACATTTTAAGTATATAATATCACAAACACAACACCAAGAATGGTCGCCAATGAGTTTAAAGCAGCTGACCTCCAGAAGATAGCAGAAAAACTGCCGTCTTGCTAATATTTTAACCCCCCCTCCCCCCTCAAAAACATTATATTGTTGAAAGAAAACGAAATGACACTTCAAAATGTTCATATTTTAACATCATTGCTCTGAAAACAAACGGTTCGCTTTTCTACCCACGGGAAATACCTTCTTTTATTATACCTCCGGGTTTTTTCTAGTATCACGTGATCGTACAGGACAATATCGCAACCTGTGCTCCGGAACGCACGGAATCCGGGATTTTATCAAACATATAGGGATACCAATAATTGCTTTTGTTTTTATATTTGTAGTAATTCATGGCCCTAAAATTATAATTGATTAATTATTTCATATATATGATAACCAATTTATCGATTTAACCTTAAGCTTGATATGTGATAAGGGCCTACTCAATGACGAAAAAAACTCCTATTTATATTGGCTACTGCGTTAGTAACGTAGTTGATTATGGAAAAGAAAAACCCGATATATTAACGCTTTTGTCAACATTCTTCATCAATTAAGGTGTAGTGATGATGATTTATCAATAAACCAACAGATCATATTTACTTTACTTGAATTTTTATTCATTTTTCATTAGCCACTGGAGGTCAGTGGCTTTAAAGCCGTCACATGTCTCAAACGATATTAATGGGACAATACTGTTGACTACCATAGTCCATTGAAGTTATTTAAGGAACAAAATATATATTAGTATAAAGCAAGCTGAATATAAAACATGTCACTATTAGCAGAACTGTAATTTTTATGAACATAAATTTTCATAGACAAACGTTCATTCGTTTACTTTTCTTTTTCGTTCTTTGTGCTTCCTTTGTCAAGACTTAAGAATAAAGTGACTCAAACGTTTTTGCAAGTAAAACTGATATTATAACATAAGTAAGGTATGCATTTATTATAAAGTCAGCTAGGACAATGCTTAACTAGGTAATACTGATAAAACTAGAACTATCGCTGGATGCGATTCATACCGCCACCAATGTTACTTGGAAAGGCGGTTAAGGGAATAACTTTAGTGGTACAAATACATATACATAAAAAGAAATTATCTCTGAGGGAAAAAAGACAAATTGTATAGGTAATAGTATAAATATATATTGTCAAATCATGTCGAAACAGTTACAAAATGACCTTTCATTTTCCCAATGTACTAAAACAAACAAAAGCAGCGCAGTTAAAAAATAGCATAATTATGTCAAAATGTAATTAAAAGTGGAAAACTTTGCATACTGAGCTTACTTGCGACCCTTCATATATTATATAGTTTCAGAAACAATTAAGTATCAATGGTTATATCAGAATATTTACTAAGCCTAAAAGGGGCATAACTTGTGTCATAATTCAATGGAATTGTAGAAGTTTCGTCATCTGAGCTTGCTTGTAACCATTCATATAAATTATAAGTTTCAAGTAAATATCTGTTCCGGTTTAAGAAATATTATAGTAAATAAATTTAAAGACATAAAAAAGAACTTAACTTTGTCAATATACAATACAAAGTTATCCCCCTACACACATTTTTAGTTATGAAACTTGACCTGCATATCTTACTTGCGATACTTCGTATATTTGAAGTTTCAAATGATTATCTGTTCTAGTTTTAGAAATATTCAAGTACATGTTAAAATTTCAGAACATTTTCTAAGTCAATTTTTGACCTTCAAGTGTGGCCTTGACCTTAGCTGGCACAAAGGTAACATGGGTTCTGCACATTGCCCAGTTGGGGTGAACATTTGAGTCAAGTTTGAAGAAAATCTTTTCATTAGTATAGAATTTATAGAGCGGACACGACATATTGTGTAGTATTGATTTATGTAAATTTAAATACTTAAAAAGGGACATAACTTTGTCAAAATGCAATACAGAGTTATGAAACTTGACCTGCATATCTTACTTGTGACACCTTATATATTATTAAAGTTTCAAGCAAATACCTGTTCTTGTTTCAGATATATTCAATATATCTTAATTGTGACACTTCATACATATTTTAAGTTTCAGGCAAATACCTTTTCCAGTTGTAGAATACATGTTGAAATTTAAGAATATTATTTTCTAAGTCAATTTTTGACCTTCAAGTGTGACCTTGACCTTAAGCCGGCAAAAGGGTAACATGGGTTCTGCACATTACCTTGTTGAGGTGAACATTTGAGCCAAGATTGAAGAAAGTCTTTCAATTAGTATAGGACTTACAAAGCGGACATGACATAATGTCTAACATTTGATTGTTTGATATTTGACCTTCAATTGTGACCTTGATCTTGAGCTGACACAATAGCAGCATAGGTTCTGCACATAACCTTGTTGAGGTGAACATTTGAGCCAAGTTTGAAGAAAATCCTTTAATTGGTATAGGATTTATAGAGCGGACGCGATAATGGAGACGGACAGACCGACGGACGGACAGACCGACGCGACAAAGCGAATCCATTATAGCCCCCCCCCCCCGCACATTTTGTTGTGGGGGTATAACTATTGTAAACATTTTTGTGACTTCTACACATGCAACAGAATAAAGGTGTTGTATGACCTTTATTTAAACAGACTGTACTATTCAATGTGATAAATACTAAATTCAAAAATGCATGTATATCTTTGAACATCCTGGGATACATTTATTATCTAAATATTATTGCTTATACCCCAACATTTATATATCTCATTATTCACAATTTATTGCTTATGTATATTATCGTGCGGCACCATTTTTAGCTGGAAAACACCCGCATTTAGAAACTAAGCGAAAAAGTTGCAGGATCGGCTACATGTATAAGTGTATAAGCCCTGGAAATACATTTATGTTGTATAATTTATTTTACGGATTATAAAAATATGTCGCATCACAAGCATACTTGTAGTCCTAATTTTTTATATATATGTTATTTCACAATTTAATAGATATAGCATAGAATGATTATCGAAAAATCGATTAAAGTTTATGCAAAAACAAAAAAGAAATATAAACCTTAAAAACAGCACCCTTCAATTCATGTTTAAATTTTTATGAAAATTTTTATATGTATTTAAATAAAATATTGTGAAGTCAACAAAAAAGAAAATTACATATTGCAACGCACTAACAACCAATGAAATCCAAAAAGTCGTCAACATATCAAAAATAACCCTACTTGTTAAACGAGTAGAAAAAGGTAAAAAAAATCTGCAAAACCATTTTAAACCGCACAAAATTTTAAAATATAATTTGAAACCCTTGAATTTTTTAACCTTTTTTAAAATTTTTAGTACTTTTTTTCCAACTTTTGATTTTTTTGAAATATTTTGGGCCAAATATGGGGGCGTGAAAACCCTTTAAAAAGTTTGTTCTTTAAAAAAGGGATTTTTAATGGGAACAAAAATTTGGGTTTTTATACCCTTTTACATCTGAAAATTTTGGAAGCATACGGGGGTTTCTTTAAAATTTTTCCAAAGGGGAAATTTTTCAAAAAGGGGTTTAAGGTTTCCGGGGGTTGAAACTAAAACATAACTACACTTTTTGTTTAAAAATCAAAAAAACCGCTTTTTTTTGGGAAAAATTAAAATTTGGCCCAGCTTTTTTACGAAAAAAAATTCCCGGGGTTCCCCCAAATTCAAAAAAGTGACTTCAAACTACACTAAAAAAATGAAAATTTTAAAAGGGTTTAAAAAACGCCTACCTTTTAAAAGGCCCCACACTAAAGGGTGTACAAAAGTAAAAGAAATTTAAATTATGAGAAATTTAACTTTAACAGAAATAAGTAACAAATAAAGAATTCAAGAAAATAAGAAAAAACGGCGGCCCGCTAGGATTCGAAAAAATATCAGTCGCAAACTTTTTGCAGAATGTATAAAATAAACACATAGCTGGAGGGGTTAACGAAAACTTTATCTTTCCCGACAAAAAAAACGTTATTTAAAGGGGTAACA